ATTAAGCACAAACCGCGCGGCTAGTATACAGTCTATGACACAACCATACCCCACGTCTCACGCTCGTACAGATTCACTGTGATAATAGACAAATTAGGGAGTCTAAACAGCGATTTTGGGGCTGCATTTTGCGTAGTAGGCATTGTTTGGCCGAGAGCCAGTGTTTGGCCACACATCGCGTCTCGACTGTTTCCGTCAGCCAGGCTTCTAGTACTCCTACTATAGCGTATCCACGCACCACCTACGCGATTGTAAGTGAAAATTTCAGCTTTACTCGAGATAGTCTTGTCGGAAGTACGGAAGCAATGGAGCTGCGAATCTCCTGTCGTCTCTTTTGCGTTCTCCGCTTGTCAATGTCCGCTAACCGTCCTTTGATTAGATAGAATAGCTCTATTTGCTTTCCTTCTTCCGTCCCCAGGTCCTGGCACGTGAGAAGAGTAAAGTTTTGAAGTGCCTTGGTCGCGTTGGGCAAAGGTGAGGAGCATTAAACACGGACTGGACATGTAACTCACATATGCGAATAGTATTAGGGATGAAATATAAGTCGACATCTTCCGCCCGAAAGGGCAAGGGAAAAGGTGAGTTACAATCTGCGCAGACGGGCAGCATTTGACAAGCGATAGCCAAACCAGTGACCAAAGAGGTCATTGTGATTTCGGACGACTCAGAGAATGAGTCTATTCCCCCAAAATCCTCTCGGTATGTGATCTCTATTTTCTAGTTATCCAATGACTGAAAGTAGACCAGAATCCTGTCAGAGCTGAGTCCCAATAAGAGGAAGAGAGAGGATCCTTCCTCTGAGACAGGAACGAAGAGGTTGAAGCTGGATCATGAAGACCTCGGAGAAAAAGCGTCGAAATTGAGCTCAGTTGAGGGCCGCGCGGTTTGTGCTTAATTAAATAGTACGCATGTAGTGTGTATTGGGCTGAATGCGTTATATTGATACACGTATCAAAGTATCAAAACGTCAAGGATTACGAGGCATTCTAACTAGAAATCAGAGTTATGAACAAGTCGAGTTAAGAATGGTGGAAGGGCTCAGTCCTTAATGCGCCTCGCTAGTGAAAGCAGGGAAATTGGTTAACAGAATACGCTTTTATTCGAACTAGATACAACGGAAGACAAAGATGAGAGGGACCTGTCCACAAGAGGCTAGGCCTCTTCATGGCGAACGCATCATTTCGCCACCGTATCAAGCGTCCCTCCTGCATCTTTACGACGATGCCATGGTATTATTGCTATTAAATCTGCAGTACCCACATAAATAGACAATGTTCTGGCGCTCTGGAAGCACTACACAGATGGCATGGGCGTCTTCGTCTACCATGGGACTACCTGCTAGGAATCCCGGAGCGGTTGCAACCGGGACAGCAAAGCGTGGGTTCCATTCGGCAGAGACGTCTAATGGGTGGTAATGCATAGGTAAATTTCTCTACAGAAAAGCATAGTCATTAGCTTCTACGAGTACATCTTGGCCGACAAAGGCACGTCTGACTCTGGTAGAGCATCAACGAGATCCCCTTGAGGGATATGGGATGAAAATGGTAGACCAGGACCAAAATGATAAAAGGTGATATCGTAACCATAGAGTGGCGCCCCACACCGTTATCGAGCTGACAAAGTAGCAAGTGTATGAGCCTGACCGCGCCGTATACCAGTTGAAAACCGGAACAAGCCAGAGGGGATACCTTTCGTGTATCCAGGAAGCGCTTACCATATTACAAGGTCAAGAAGACGTAAGAGTGGAGGAGACTGGGAAGGAATGGGCAGAGGAGCAACCTACCACCTGGTGCCTGCCATCATTCCCCCCAATACAGATACAATGCGTCGCAAGAAAACATTATAGATAATTTCGCTTCTTTTCAGTATTGCATACAAGGTATCATTGTCTCTAGCTAGTTGAGTCGATAGATTGCAAGAAGGTCACGAATTTTGCTTGTCTATCGATGCTACATGTATTTAGAATAATAAAAATTTATTACATCAAGGCTAATATAGAGTAGAACACCCCTCAGAGACCTCGATCCGCGCAAAAAGTGACTACGTGAGCACTGTATTGGTAAGCCCTCTAACAGGAAGGTCCGAGAGATGTCGGCATTAGCACTCTAGGTTGACGGCCAATATCATCGACCATCCTGCTATAATTCGTACCAAGCACTTCCAAAAAAATAAATACTTCACCACGGATTTGGGAACCCTTAGGGCCGGATTTGACGCGTGAGAGCGACCAGGTTATCAAAGTACTCTGGAGAGTCGAGAGAAGGTAAGGAGTATCGAGCGTGGAGAAGGCATTTAGCCTACACATTTGAGTTGCTCTAGTGATGAAGAACAAGTTATCTTCTTCAGAAAATGTCCCATCCAAAGCTCTCAAGGGAAAAGGTGGGATTCATTGCGAGCAGGCGGCTAGCGTTTGACACAGTATAGGCAAACCCTCATCCCCCGAGTACATTGACATAAGCTCTGATGAGAGTGACGACCCCGGGGATGAAGCTTGCTATTACTCAAATTGGCAGCATTCCATTGAGCTGGTGCGAAACATCACCTCCCTGAAAATCTCGACGACAAGGGGCGCTCGAGATCCCGAAAACCATCTCAAAGGAACGCCGACGCTTCGATGGTGTTGCAGCCATTCCCGATGACGCCGCGGTATGGAAGGATATAAAGAACTCGGCCATCGCATTGGTTGAGTTTTCGTCACGACCCGGATCCTTCCAGGTTCAATATTGGGTCGACAAGGGCGTGCTGAGGTGGCCTCGGGAGCAAGAGGTTGACTCGCGCAAGACGCAGCACTTTTACATGCGCCGTCTGCCAATCTCCGCTCTCGAGCAATATATCGCACGGAGAAAAGTAGTCCCAGGTCTTGCCCTTGAGGATGCGGGTTACAAGAAAAGTTCAGCTACAACGCTGTTATTAGATGGACATGCGTTCAACTCGGGCAAGGCCGAGGAGAATCGAAGAGATCGGGCCGCTCCCTTTGGAGGGAACCAGCAGCGCGGGGAGCAGAGACTCCGCCTCGGGACAACCTTGCCAGCTTGTCTTCGCAACCAAGCTGCCATCTCATGTGACGATTGCCCTCGTCAGGGCCGATGCAAAGGTTGCAAAGTCTTTGTGACCGGACAAGACCGGAATGCGGAGCATAGGTGCCCTATCAATAACAAAGATATCATGCTCTCCAAGACGACGTGTGACAGCTACGACTGGATTCTTCACCCGCACGATCCTTTGCACAACCCCGCCTTGCCTAAACAAGTTCGAGGTCTCGCCCTCGAGGATGCGGGATACGTGACGCGGACGAGAGGTGAGAAGAGTCGATTGACATCAAATTTTATATCCTACTGGCAGCATCGTTGCACGCATCAA